AAACATTTTCAGTCTGCTTCAACACCTGTAATGAGATGGAGAAAAAAAAAAAAAAAAAAGAAAAAAGAACAGCACAACCAAAAAACATGGTACGAGATATACAATAAAGCAAACACCTTGAAACTATCACTAAAGTAATATTATTAAGTCTGACATGTACTCTGTGTTACCTGAAGATATGAATGTGGGGTTTCTGTTTGGAAGTGAATCTCTAAGTACCTGAAGCCTAGCACCTGTAGTTGTTTGTGAGGGTGAACTTTGCATGTAAATTTTTAAACCCATAGAAAAAAATGCTAAATAGGGGTTGTGGGAGCCGGAGAGGCACACCCCCCAGAGCACTGAGTCCGCGCCGGGGAAAACCCAAAAGCCCAGGGGGCCCAAGGGGGCCCCCAAAGCAAAAGGCACCAAGGGGGGCCAGCCCCGGAAATGGGAACCCCCCCAAAGGGCCGGGAGGAGAACAGCCACGAGGAACCCCCCCAGCCCCCGCCATCCCGGGCCCCCCCCGGGGACCGGGGGACGAGTCCGCGGGCCCCCCCCCGGCACCCGGGCCCACCCCAAAGTAGGGCCGGGCGCCGAACCCCCAGCCCCCCCCGGCGCCGCCCCAAACGCCCCGCCCCACAGAGCACCGAAACACGCCCCCCCCCACCCAAACCAAGCCCCGGCGCCCGGGCCGCAACACCCCAACCCCCCCCCGCACCCCCCCAGGAAAACAAAAAGACGGCCCCCCCCCCCGGGCCGGGGCCCCGCGTTTTCCCCGCCGCAAACCCGGCCCACACGCCGGGGAAACCCCCCCCAAAACCCCCCCCCGGGCCCAAAAAAACCCAAAGCCCCCCCCCCACCAAGCCCGATCCCAAAGCGCGCAACGAAAAACCCCCGGGGGCACAGAATCACCCCCGAGAGCAAAAAAGCCGCCCGGCGAAAAAAACCCAAGGGGGAGCAGACCGCACCCGGCGAACCCCCCCCCCCCACCCACCCCGGGGGGCAGCCAAAGCCAGAGGGGGACGAACCCGCCCCCGCCCCCCCCCCCCGGGAAAAACAGCCCAGCCACGTCCGCCCCCCCCCCGCACCCGACCGGGGGCCCCGGACCCCGCCGGGCCAGAGCAGCTCCGCCCCCCCGGCCCCCCCAAACCCCCGCGCCGGTCATACCCCCCCGGGCCCCACACCCCCCCCCCGAAAACCCCCAAACCCCCGCGATCAGGGGGAAAACAGAGGAAAGCCCCCCCAATGCCTCCAGGGGGGAAAAAACCCCCCCAAATACCCGCCAGCGCGGGCCAGCCCCCCCAAAGGCCCGGGCCCCCCAAACTCCCCCCCCGCCGGAGCCGCCCGGCCCCCCACACACCAGCGGCGCGCCCCCCGCGGACCCCCCCCCAGCGGGCCCGCCGCCCCCCGAAAAACAACAGGAATCCCAAAACCCCCCCAAAAAAAAAACGGGAAAAAAAAAAAAAAAAAAAAAAAAAAAAAAAAAGGGGCCCCCCAAAAATTTGGGGCAGCGGGACCCCGGGACACCGACCCAGCCCGCAACCGCTCCCCCCCCGGGGAAGGGGGAAAAAAAAAAAAAAAAAAAAAAAAAAAAAAAACAACAATAAATGGGTAAATAAAAAAAAATTAATTAAAAATTACAATTAAAATAAATGGCAAGAGGAGAATGCGGCGGAAAAAAACCGGACCCCAAAAACGGGGCCCCAAGCCCCGCACCCCACCATGCCGCGCACCCCCCCCCCCCTCCCCGAACCGATACCCCCAAAAACCCCGGCATGGGAAAAGGGGAAAAAACCCCCCGGGAAACCCCCGGCATCGTAGCGAAGGCCCCGGGCACCAAACCCCCGAAAACCCCCAAAACAACACCCAGCCCCACCCCAAAAAGCGGTTTCCATCCCGGCCCCAGGGACCCGGGGGCCCCCAAAGGGGGTGCGGTTGAGAACCCCCAAAATTGGGAAAAAAAAATTTAAAAAAAAAAAAAAAAAAAAAAAAAAAAAAAAAACCCACCCCATCTCAATCATCCCTTTCCCCTCCCTAGTGCCCCCACTGCCCCACGGGTAAAAAAAAAAAAAAAAAAAAAAAAAAAATTGAAAAAAATAATAATAATAATAAATAAAGAAAATAACAACGCAGACACACATTCACACATAACACTCACACCCAAAAAATCCCAAGGGCCCAAAAACCCGGGGGCCCACCGGTGGTCGGCCCCTGGGGATATGGAGGCCCCCATAAGTAAACCCAAAACCCGGGATGTGAGGGGAGGGGAGCGGCAAACACCGCCACACCAACCCCATCTTTTTCCCTGTTTCCAAGCCCGGCCCCCCCCCCCCCCCAAAGGGCCCGGACCCCCCCCCGCAAGACCCCCCCCCGGGGGACCGGGGGCCCCCCCCACCCCGCGCCGGCCACCCAAAACCGAACCGCCCCCCCCCCCCGAAAAAAAAAAAAAAAAAAAAAAAAAAAAAAAAAAAAAAAACCTTAAACCCCGGCACTTCATCCCCCCCTCCATCCAACCTTCTTTGGGGAGAGCAAAGGTGCAGCCCCGCCCCCCCGAAAGGCCCCACCTAGGCCCCGCACCCAAACCCCCACCCAAAAACCACGGCCAGGGGGGCCCGCTCTTCCTCCAGGCCCCAAAACCCCAGGGGGGACCCGGGGGAGAAACAGGGGTGTGAGAAGACCCCGATCCTCACTGCGCCCGCTCAAATTTGGTTTTTTGCGTGTTGCTCTCAATGAAATTTAAAAAAGGGGGAAAGACAAGGGGGGTTTTCCGGGCCCCCATCCCCCCCCCCCTCCGGGAAAGATAAGGGGTCCCAGCACACCCTCCCCCTTCGACAAACCCCAACCCTAATGTCTGGGTTTCGAGAGGGGATGGGGGGGCCGCCCGGGGTTTGGGGCCCTTTAAAATAACCCCCCCCCGGGGCCCTGACCCCACCCCCCCCAAAATCCCCATCATGATGTGTGTTGTAAAAATGATGTGATGGAAGTGTCTAAAATCCCAAAAAAAAATTTGGGGGGTGGGGGACGCCCATCAGAAGGTGTGGCCCCCCAGAAAACGACCCCCTCCCCAAAAAAACCTAAAAGTGGGGCCCGAGTGTTTAAAGCGGCAAGGGGGGTTTTTGGGGATGGGGAGAAAAAGGACTGGGGTCCCTGCCCCCTTTCCCAGGAGCCAGCCCCCCGCTGACCCCCAATAGGCCCCCCCCTTTCCCCCGGGAAGAGCCCCCCAGAGAAGGGGGCCCCCCCATTTTTCACCCCCATACCCCCCGGGGGCACGGGACCGGCAGCGGGGCCCCCACCACCGCCGGGCAGGGGAGCCAAAAAAAACCCCCACCCCCCCCCCCCCCTTCCTGTCACCCAAAAAAAAATAATAAAAATAAAAAAAAAAAAATAAATAAATAAGAAATTTAAATAAAAAAAATTTAAAAAAAAAAATAAAAAAATAAATAAATTAAAAAAAAAAAATAATAAAAAAAAAATAAAAAAAAAATTTAAAAAAAAAATATAAAAGGGGAAGTAAGAAAAAAAAAAATAATAATAAAAAAATAAATGAATGGGGGAAAAGGGACAATCCCCCCGGCCGGGAAACCCCGCGCAAAACGCAGAGCCCCCACCCCGGCCCGAAGCCCCACCAGGGGGCCCAGAAACGGACCGGGGAACCAAGACGGGGAGCCAGCCCCAAAGCCCTTCAAAGTTTCTTCTTCCCCCCTTTTCACCCCCCCCCACCCCCCCTCCGGGGGATGTAATCCCCCCCCCTACAATAAAAATTTAAAGCTACCCCAAAACACAAGCGACGGGAAGACATCCGGGGCCGGGGATCAACCTACTCCCCCTCCCCCCCCTTTTCCCCCACTTACAGAGGGGCAAACCCTGGGGGGAAAGCACTTGCCATGGTGTTAATGTCCAGCCCCCCCAAAACCCCCAAGCAGGCCCCGGGGAAACCCCGGGCACCACCAGAGGCCGTGGCAGCGGGGAAGACAGCCAGGGTACCCGGGGCCCAGAACCCAAGCAGCACTCCCCACAAAAACCCGAACCCCCAAACCCCCCCAACCGGGGACCCCCCCCCAAAGGGGCAATGGGGGCCCCCAGGGATCCCGGGGCCCAAAGGGGAGCCACCCCAGCCCCAAACCCCCCGCAGTAGGGGGGGGCAATCCCCAAAAAAACCCCCCGGAAACCGGCGCCAGCCCCCCACCCCGCCCCCGGGGGGGGCCCCCCGGGAAAGGGAACCCCCCCCAACAGGTCCCCCCCCAGCACCAACCCGAAAAGAAAAAAAACCCAAACAAAAGCTAAGCGAAAAATCCCAGCCCCCTCCAAGCCCCGACCCCCCGCCCACACCCCCTCCCCCCACAAAAAACAAACAAAAACAAAAAAAAAAAAATTATAATTTTCCCCCCTCCCCGGAGAAAAAAAAGGGGCCGCAAAAAAGCCGGGGCCCCAACACCCACCGCCACCCCACGGGGGCCCCCTTTCCACCCCAAAATGCTCCTCCCCAGAAAAGTAAAACATCCCCTCCCCTCCCAGGAGCGGCAAGCCCGCCGAACAGGAACCCCCCCGGGCAGCGCACCGGCATGCGGGGGCCCCAGCACCCCAACAAAACAACCCCAAAAAGGGCCGACAAGGACAAACCCGACGGCCCCCCAACCCAACCCCCAGGGGAAACTCCCCCCCCCAAAAAACCAAAACGAAACCCCCCCCCCCCACCAAACCACAGCAAAACAAGCCCAAGGCAAACAAAGGACAAAAGCAGCCCCCCCCGGGGAACCCCCACCCCCAGAGGGGCCCAAGCAAAAGGGCCCGCCCCACCCCGCCAGAAGCCGGCACAAGCAGCAAAAAGAAAGCAGCAGAGGGAAACCCCCCACCCCCCGCGGGGGCCCGGCGCGAAAGAAGAGCACAAACCACCCCGCCCCGGGGCCCCCGCACCCCCCACAGGCCGCCGGGGGGAGGAGGGGCCAGGGCCGGCCACGGCCCGTCCCCCCCCCCCGGGCCAAAAAACCCCGGGGCAAACCCCCCTCCCAACCCCGCGCACGATGAAACCGCACCACGCGTCCCCGGGGCACCCGCCCCAACAGAGCGAAGCCACCCCCCGCCCCGGGGGGCACTCCAAAGGGCCCCCCGGGACCCCCGGGCAACCCCCCCCACAACAGACACACACAAACCCCGGGCCCCAGGCGGACCCCCCCACGCCCCCCCGGACGACGCAACCAAAGGCAAGCCCCCACGGCCAACCACCGAAACCCGGCACCGGGGAAAAAAAGAGGGGACGCCCCCACGCCCCGGAGAGCGAAGCACCCCGGGGCCGCACCACAAAAGAAACCCATTCCCGGGGGGCCCAGCCCCAAACCCAAACAGCAGCACAGCCCCCAAGGCCAGTAGCCCACGTCCGACCAAAAGGGGAACCCCCCAAAAAGGGAAACCGGGACGCGGGGGCCGCCGCAGGGGCCCCCCCGCGGGCCCCCCGACCCCGCCCCGGGGGGCAACAGTTTTTCCCCCGGGGAAAACCCGCCAGGACCCCCCTTTCCCAGCACCCCCCCCAGCCCCCCCGGACCCAAAAACCCCCAAACTACCCCCCCGCCCCACAAGACCCACCCCCTAGCCCCCCACTTTCACTAAGGTATGGAGGGCCCATAAAAAGGGGGCCCCGAGAGATCCCCGGGCGATGGGGGGGCAGATTTCTGGGCCCAAAATTAATATGAAACCAACAACAGTTCTCTGTACTGATTGATGTTGGTTTTTTCCTTACTCTTCCAATTCATGAGGATAGTTTTTCTTTGCGATAATAAAGCAGTGGGAAAGCCAAGCCCAAACCCAAATTTTTTTTTCCCCTAGGCTTTCCCTTCCCAAAATCCCCCAGCAAGCAAACTGAAGGGGAAATTAGATTTTACAACCCAGGCACAGTGATAAAATCCTTACTACCTGTACCCCGAATTTTCTGAAAAACCCGGCCCTGCATAAACCCCAGCGCGTGAAAATTTAAATTTTCAAATCGATTGCCTGTGCCCCCTGTGGGCAGGGTGTTAATTGCGGGAAAAAACCTTTTTTAATAATCTTTGGGCCTGTATAGTGGGACTTGTTTGGGGGATTTTGTATTGTTTAATTGGGAAATTGGGGTTTCCCTCATGTTAAAAAATTCTTAGGGCCCTATCTGAGCCCCGATGTTTTGTTCAAACTGACTGAAAATTTCCCCTCCCATTTAGTAATTGGGAAAGATATTGTATAAACCATTTTTTGGTCAGTTCCCGTATAAAATTTAAACAAAGGGTTTTTTTGGGGGGGTTAACTCTAGAAACTCTGATATTTTAATTTGGGAAATTTTTAAACCTCCCTCAATATGCTTTTAAAATTTTTTTCTAATTAAAAGCTTTGATTTTTCTCATATTTTAAGAAATTTTTTTTTGTTAATGCCATAAATTTCAAATTTAAAACAACAATGTGATAAACTCCCCTACCTTAAACAAAAGATCCCCGATATTAAAAACCTTTTTCTTTCCCCTTTCGGGAAAATTTATCACATTTTTGTTTTGTTGAAAAGTCAGGGTTATTCCAAAATGGGTGTTCGACTGCACGGGTTAAATGGTGAGTTCGTTATTTTTTGAAAAAATTTCCCCCCATGCCGGCGGGAAGGCTGAATTTTAATATTTTTGAAACAAAGGGTGCCGTTTGATCCCTTTGAGCTAATTAAAAGGGGAAATTGAGATTATTATATTACTTTTGGGAAAATTTTTCCTTTTTTCCCGTGTCTTTTCCCCCGGGGGTCAACTAAGGGATTATGTTTTACCATTTAGAGATGTATTGTAATCTATTTGCTAAATAGTAGTATTGGAAGTTAGGTAAATCTAGTCCCCCTCTGTCTTTAGTTTTCTGTAGTGTTTTTAAGCTGATACGAGGGGGTTTGTCCTTCCAAAGAAATTTAGAGATGGAAGAATCTAGAGATTTAAACCATTCGGTTGATGGTTTATTTGGGATCATTGAAAATAGGTAGTTAATTCTGGGTAAGACCATCATTTTAATTGAGGCTACCCGACCCAAAAGGGAGATCGGAAGCGATTTCCATCTTTCTAGGTCCTCTTCTATTTTCATTAAAAGAGGGGTGTGGTTGAGTTTTGGTAACTCAGCTAGTTTAGATGACACAGTAATTCCCAAATATTTGATATTTCCTGATTGCAATTGTAGACCTGAGGGATTCTGTAGAGAGCAATTAATTGGTAGTATTACAGATTTAGACCAATTTATAGAGTATTCTGAGACTTTTGAGAAAGATTCTAGTAAACTAATCACTTGAGAGAGGCAAGTGTTTGAGTGCTGGAGATAAAGTAATACATCATCTGCGTAAAGACTAATTTTATGCTCCATTTTCATGCCTTTTATACCTTTAATCATATTTGTTTGTCTGATTGTAGCAGCCAGAGGCTCAATAAAAATAGCAAAAAGTGAGGGGGAGAGTGGGCATCCCTGTCTGGTGCCCCTCTGGAGACAAAAACTGGAAGATGTTTGATTGTTTGTCCTGACACAGGCTGTTGGGAAGCTGTATAATATTTTTAACCAATTTATAAAGGAATTGCCAAAGCCAAATTTATGTAGAGTAGCAAATAAAAATTTCCAGTTTACTCTATCGAATGCTTTTTCTGCATCTAAGGACAATATATAGGATTTAAGATTTTTGCTGTAGGAATAATCTATTAAATTCAGCAGTCTGCGTGTGTTAGCAGCTGACTGCCTCCCTTTAATGAAACCAGTTTGATCTGGGTGGATTATGAGAGGAGTGACTTTATCTAACCGTTTTGCTAAAGCTTTACAGACTATTTTAATATCCACATTAATTAAGGATATGGGACGATAGCTGGTCGGAAACATAGGATCTTTGCCTGGCTTAAGCAGGAGACTAATGGTGGCAGAATTCATATTAACTGGAAATTTGCCATTATCTAGAGTTTCCTGCAGCATTCTGTGGAACGTTGGGGCCAGAATGTTCCAGAACTCTTTATAGAACTCAGTAGGGAACCCGTCTGGACCTGGCGCTTTATTATTTGGCATGTTTTTTAATGCTTCCTGAACTTCAGCTGTAGACAGCGGTGAGTCCAGGGTCGCTCTTTGACTCTCTGATAATTTAGGAAGAGTTATTTTATCCAGAAATCGCTTGATATTATTATCTGATGGATTTAACTGTGATGTGTATAAAGATTTATAGAAATCTCGGAAGGCATTGTTAATATCCTCCGGATCCTGTAATGTATTACCAATTGAATCTGTAACTGCAAATATAGTCGTTTTTTCTTTGTTTATTTTTAGCTGGTTAGCTAAGAAGCTTCCTGACTTATTGCTATGTTCAAAGTTGTCAATTCGAAGTCTTTGAATTAAAAATTTATTTTGTTTTTCAATAAATTCGTTTAGTTCTAGTTTTATTTTACGGATTTCCCCTAACTTTTCCTCATCTAGCGAGCTTTCTAGTAACTTTATTTTTCCCTCTAATTCCTGGATCTTTTTTTGTTCTAACTTTTTTTTATGAGATGAAAATGAAATAATTTTACCTCTCATCACTGCTTTCCCTGCCTCCCATAGTATAGATGCTGATGTTCCTGGTAAATCATTGCACACCAAGTATGATGCCCACTCTTCCTTGAAAAATTTGAGAAACTCTTCATCTTTAAGCAGTGATGTATTTAATCTCCAGCTCTTGTTTTGTGGGACTATTTTTTTATTTATTAGGGTTAAAGTAACAGGAGCATGATCACTGACAGCAATAGGATGGATTACAGCATCTGAGACGTCAGACAGCAGTGAGCTGCTGATTAGGAAATAGTCCAGACGAGAGTAGGAATGATGGACATTGGAAAAGAAAGTGTATTCCTTACTGTTAGGATGAAGAGATCGCCATGCATCGCAAAGACCAAAATCACTCATGTATTGTTTGACTACATTTAATGATTGCCAACTGCGCTGAGTCCCTGTTGTACTCAACCTGTCCATTTCTCCATTTAGACCAAAGTTGAGGTCACCCCCAATAATTAGAGAACAATCCCCGTGCTTTGAAAGTGCATGAAAAACTTTGTGGAAGAATGAGGGGTCGTCAACATTTGGACCATATATGCTGACAATACACAACTTTTGGTTATAAATAGATATTTTAATTATGATGAATCTGCCTTCAGGATCTATAATTTTGTCTAATAAAGTAAAACTGAGGTTTTTGTGGATTAAAATAGCTACCCCTCTCTGTCTCGAGTTATAGCAGGCTGCAAACACATCAGGGAACTCAGGGGAGTTAAGATCACTTATAGATGCCGCTGATTTATGGGTTTCTTGCAATAAGACAACATCTGCATTTAATCTTTTAAGCTGGTTAAAAATCTTAAGCTTTTTCTCTCTGGTGCCAGCCCCATGCACATTCCATGTCACAAACCTTACATTCACCATAGGTGTGAGTGAGAAGATGAAAAGTACATGCCTCTGAATAAATAGTTATACCTAGACCCAGGTAGCATCAAACCGTGTGCTTGTGATTGTGTGGACCACAGGGAAGAAGCAGACGAATAAGGAAAAGGAAGACAGAAAATTAAGAGAGTGCAATGAGTGAGAAAAGGTGAAAGAAAAAGAACCCCAGCCCATGCATTCTGTACCCAGCTGTAACTAGCAGTCATACCGTGCAAACGTGCTCTAGAGCTGTGCATATATTTCATTTATCACCGTGAAATGTTCTATACACTTTAATCAGGTGTCACATGCTTTTAAACCTGCCTGTTGTGCATCTAATAAAGCCAAGGAGTGATCTTCTGATCCCTGAACAACTGACCATTAATATAAAGTTTGTCAACTGCTACTGTAGCTCTGACGCCTTCACTGATGTATTTCTTCCTGATTGGGAATAACGCTCGCCTGTGATCTAATATTTCCTTTGGATACTGGTCATTGACGCTGAAATCTGTTCCTCTCAGCTCTCTGCCCTGACTCCTGACCTGCTCTTTCTGCTTGTAATGCTCAAACTTAGCTACAATTGGTCTAGGACGGGATTTATCAGGCTTCTTACCTCCGAGCCGGTGAACGCGATGGAAGGTGATGTTTTTTACCTGGTCCGCCGGGATTTTCAGCTTCTTCTGGAGGAACTTACGTACTATCGCCTCAGGGTCCTCGTCCTGCTGTTCAGCGATTCCAGCGAAGACGAGATTGTCTCTCATGCTCCGCGACTGAATGTCCAGAATGGATTCCTTCATCTTTCTATTTTCGCCGGACAGCTGGATCATCCCCTCGGCGAGTTTGGTGACTTCCCCCTTCAGCGCTTCATTCTCGGCGGTGACGGAGGCCAGCTGAGCTTGGCTGAATTCCAGCGACTCTCTCAAAGCTTGAAACTCCTTATGCAGGACTTCTACCAGGGCAAGGCGGGCGTCCAAGCTAGTTAGCTTTTTGTCGATGGATTCCAGGACGTCGCTGTAGCTCCTGTCTGGAGACAAAGTAGATGTAGAAGCAGCACTGGTTGAACTAGACCGACATCGTTTGGAAGACGGTGTGTTCGTGGATGTGGGATTCTTCGGCTTCCCCATTACGATGTTGTCAAAACACTCGTCCAGGTAGCTCTCCAGGCTCGTCAAGGTCTCGTCTTCCAGTTTGTTCCCTCGGAAATACGGTACAATTGTCAAAGTTTAAATCTGCTTGTTTTATTTACATTTATTGGCTTACTTACCAGGACTGGAATTGTTTGTTT